GTGTGGGTACCCCGAACAAAAGAAGAATGATGAAGCCAGTTTGGCTCAGACTTGAGCCAAAATGGATTCATCAACTTACACACTCACCCTAATGATAATGCACACCCAGTGCCTGCCAAACACGATGCATACATATACATACACATACATAATTATGTATATATGTATTATATATATATGTGTGTGTGTTTGTAATAGCCAACCCACATCCTATAAGTAGAAGGAATGCCCAAGAACCCAAGGCCTCCCACCCTGTGGCCTTCATTTTTGCGGCCAAGACGTCCGGGCTTGGGCTCCTTGCGACACAGTCAAAAATTCTGGTCCATCCTCAGAACTTGTTTCCCAAGTGTCACAAATGAATGAAGGTTGTCTCCCATTACATTCCATGACATTCCATAACATCCCGTCATATTACATTACATTACATTACATTGCATTACATTCCGTTATATCACATTACATTGCATTGCATTACCTTGTGTTACAACCTATTACATTCCATTTAAGTTCCTTTGCATGACAATCCTTTACATTAAGTTGAATTACATTGAATTTCATTCCATTGCATGGCACTGCATTGCACTACATTACATGATATACAGAGCATTACCTTGCATTAGGTTACATTGCATTACAGTCCATTGCACTCCGTTACATTGAATTGCATTGCAGTACTTTACATCGGATTCAATTCCATTAGATTCCATTGCACTACAATCTATTACCTTGCATTACATTACATTGCAATACGTTGCATTACTGTCAGTTACATTGCATTACGTTACATTGCGTTGCAGTCCATTAGATTACATTACGTTACATTGAAATGTATTGCATTACATTCAAGATATTCAAGTACATTGCTTTACGTTGCACTACATTACATTCCATTACGTTGCATTACATTCAATGACGTTATAAACTTGCATTACATTGCATTACATTACATTTCGTTCCATCGCGTTCCATTTCATGACACTACATTGCATTGCATTACAGTCAGGGGGGGCGCGCTAGGGAATAAGAGTTTCCCACCTCGAGCACAATGCAGCAGCCATAGTAGCCACAGGAGACACGAGCAGCAACTACTACTCCGTTTCCTCCGGTAACGAATGCAACTACGACCACTACCACTACCACTAATATCTACTACTACTACTACTACTACTACTACTACTACTACTACTACTACTACTACTACTACTACTACTACTATCTCCTACTACTATCTCCTACTACTATCTCCTACTACTATCTCCTACTACTATCTCCTACTACTATCTCCTACTACTATCTCCTACTACTATCTCCTACTACTATCTCCTACTACTATCTCCTACTACTATCTCCTACTACTATCTCCTACTATCTACTACTATCCACTCCTATCTACTACTACTACTACTACTACCTCCTACTACTATCTCCTACTACTATCTCCTACTACTATCTCCTACTACTATCTCCTACTACTATCTCCTACTACTATCTCCTACTACTATCTCCTACTACTATCTCCTACTACTATCTCCTACTACTATCTCCTACTACTATCTACTACTATCCACTACTATCCACTCCTAACTACTACTACTACTACTACTACTACTCCTCCTGCTCCTCCTGCTCCTCCTGCTCCTCCTGCTCCTCCTGCTCCTCCTGCTCCTCCTGCTCCTCCTGCTCCTCCTACTACTACTACTCTTCCTCCTGCTGCTGCTGCTCCTGCTACTGCTACTGCTACTACTACCTACCTACCTACCTACCTACCTACCCTACCCTACCCTACCCTACCCTACCCTACCCTACCCACCCACCCACCTACCTACCTACCTACCGACCTACCTACTCCTACTACTCCTACTACTCCTACTACTCCTACTACCTACCTACTACTCCTACTACTCCTACTACTCCTACTACTCCTACTACTCCTACTACTCCTACTCCTCCTACTCCTCCTACTCCTCCTACTCCTACTCCTACTCCTACTCCTACTCCTACTCCTACTCCTACTACTACTACTACTACTACTACTACTACTACTACTACTACCCCTACTACTACTCCTACTACTCCTACTACTTCGCCTACTCCTGCTACTCCTACTATTCCTACTACTCCTACTACTCCTACTACTCCTGCTACCCCTACTACTCCTACTACTCCTGCTCCTGCTGCTCCTACTGCTCCTCTTCCTACTCCTACTGTCCTACTACTCCTGGTCCTACGCCTCCCACTGCTCCTCCTCCTACTGCTCCTCCTCCGCTTCCTACTCCTACTACTCCAATGGCTACGACGACGACGACGACGGCGACGACGACGACGACGTCGACGAAGACGACGACTACTACTATTAATATTCCTCCTACTCCTCTTACTACTACGACTCCTACTGCTGCTACTACTACTACTGCTACTACTACTGCTACTACTACTACTACTACTACCACTACTACTACTACTACTACTACTACTACTACTACTATTACTACTACTACTACTATTCCTCCTTCTCCTGCTCCTCCTGCTCATCCCACAAGAACATCACACTGTGCTCTGCACCTGCGCGCATGCGCAGAGCACATGAACAACACCAACGCCCACACTACTATACATAACCCTTATGACATCGCCAGTGTGGGAAGCTCTACAATATTCCGCTGCATTACATTGCAATGTATTCCATGGCGTTCCACTAAATTTCATTCCATTACATTGCATGACATTCCATTCCATTGCATTCCATTGCATTGCATATCGTTGCATTACATTCACATTCCATGATATTTCACGGCATTACATTACATTGCGTTACGTTCGATTGTATTACAATACATTGAATGGTGGCATTAGATGACATTGCGTTGCATTACATTATATACATTGCATTACATTACATTAAATTATATCAAATTATATATTCCGCTGCATCACATTACATTGCATTACATTCAATTATAATTTTCATATTACGTTACGTTGCATTACATTGCGTTACATTCCATGGCATTCCACTAAATCTCATTCCATTGCGTTCCACTCCTTGCATTACATGACATTGCATTACATGGCAATACATTTAAATTGCATTACATACATGCATCCATCCATCAATCCATCCATTCATACATACAACCAAGCTGGAATCCACAGTGGCTTGTGAACGTTGGATATACCCGGAGGATAAAAATAATGAGTCTTGATCTGGAACGCGATGGATTTTGCAGAGAGCTGACAGTTTGGCCTGGCCTCACTTGGCAAGGACAAATGAGGAGCAACAACCCCAGAACAGCTGAAAAAGGGCTGACAAGTACGTGAACAACAAGCAGGAGCTGATGATGAGAACTATGACAGAAATAGTCATGGGGACAGGTACCAGTACCTCAACAAGCATCACCGCACTTGTTGATGGTCCTTACAGTCATGGGCAATGCTAACCCCATTGAAATATCTGGCAAGTTCTTATCTTTTGGGTTCCTTCCGAGGTTGAAGATTGCATACTCGGAGTTGCCGCCCATGGCTGCGCGGTGGAAGACGGCACAAAGGGCCATGACAATCATCGCCGAAATGGACGAGAAGATCACTACCTGCAGGACCAAGGAACCGGAGCTGAATACTGAGAGTGATTAACTGATTAACCACTTCTTCAAGGACATTGGTGACATGCATATCCAAATATGTGTGCACATAGAATGGTGTTCTTGCATCGCGAGGCAAACACCTGTGTATATGTGTATAGGCATGTTTGTGCGGGTGTGTGGGTGTGTGTGTGTGTCTTTGTGGATGCACCTTGCTTCCTAGGGAAAAAAAACTGAAAGACTAGGGCTTTTCCTCAGAAACAAGACCTGCCAGCCCCGAGCTCAGTTTGGTTTCTCCCATTGCCCTCAGGGCACCATAATACCGGTGTTGAAATTGTCGACGAAGTCGGCCACGACTCCTATGGTACCAGATGGGACCCACGAACTCCCAAGAGGTAGGGGTCATCAGGACGTGTCTTGCAAAAGATGAATCAATTGAAGCTTTCTAAACCGAATGGTTCAAACTCAGGCTCCTGAACTTCTTACAAATTGAAAAGGCTACCTGTGCCTCTAAACTCAAGACCCTGGACCCAGGAAGGGTTTGGTTGTTTTCACTCTATACGACGATTCAAGGCTGTGACAGTTTGCTGACTTGTATATCTCGTTCTCAAATGTCACTGGAGGCGCACATGAATTGATGGGATGGGATGGGATCCAACTGGAATCTCAGCGCAATCAGCGCAGCAACTTGTGTCAAAGGGAAAGCCCCCATTTTTGACCGCTTCCGTGGATCCAGTCCAATTCTAGAGATGGTGTTTGCAAAGGAACTGCATAAGCTGCATCCCAACTGCTTTCGGGGAAACCCCTGCAACAAAGCCTCCCTCAGCTCAACTAGGCAGCCCAGGCAGCCTGTTTTGTTGATAGGCTCCAAGTACAAGGCCGAAGCCGCCACCAAAATCATGATGCAGTAGGACATCCAACAGTCCAGGGCATTCAGCAACGGCACCTGACAGGTCAGAGACGGTCAGAGATCTGGCGGCTATTTATGGCAACGGCTTTGGCAATGCATCGAAGGACTGTTGGAGATGAATATGGGATGTTCTTGGTAGAAAAGTTTCCATCATTTTGACACATCCTTACTTCGAAAATAAAAGACTGCAGATTGTTACGCCCACCTAGGTCTCATATTGTAGCCCGCATCATTGGGCAGTGGGACAGCTGCTGTAACTAGAACAGCGTCACGCAGTAGTACGTTCCCACAGTGGGTTGGATTCAGAGGCAATAAGGGTCCCACCAAAGATAGCAAAGTGATTCCAAACAATTTGGAAAAATGTGTATAATCTATAATTATATAACGTGGGAAACCCAATCATAAACATCCAATTTTGAAGGGTTTCAATCCCAGTTCTAGTGATATTGAGGACAGCGCCTTCCATGGCCACGCCAGAGCCTGACACGCCAAAAAACTCAGAAGGATGAAGGTCACCCAGACCGTCTGCACCGCCGGATAGTCTGTGGCCAGCACGATGGGAAGGCAATCAAAGGACCACGGGTCAACAGTGGAACTCCAAACCACCAGCTGTCCTGAAGCATGTCTGCTCAAGGGCAGCTGGAACATATTAACAAAAACCCCAAACCCAAACACTGCCCCTTCGTGGGGAACTTTTGCCTGAAAAAGCCGAAATCATCACAAAAAAAATAAAGGCCAAGTCTCCAGCCGGAATCGGAAGACCAGGAATCGGAAAGCGCGGACACGGCCGTGTTGGTCGCAGGCACTCCATGTTGGTACCATGTAAGCCGCATAAGTGCACAAAGTCAGGAAGCCGAAGACACCGATGATCAGCAAGCAAAGGCCAACAGCAAGCATCGCACCGTGTGTGTCTGAGCCACAAATCACGTTCGGGTACTTCAAGAGACTCTGCAATTTGTTGGGATGAGTGTAGCAGGTCAAGGGAATCAGCGCAGTCGCACTCATGGTTGAGAAACCCACCTCACATGTGCACAAAATCATAGCTGCGATCTTGTGCAGATCTGGAATCATATTATTGTTAAAACGATTTGTATGACTATTGCTCTTGCTACTAGTATGAGTTCCCTAGGACTGCAGAATTTTGAGTTCCCTACAGCCGAACCTCGAAATTTTGAAATAACTATTTGGACCAGTAGCCTTAACATGCTCACATTCGGGCACTTACCCCCCTTTGGTTAGTGCCTGGATCCGGCACAGGGATTCTCATCTGCTGCACGAAGCAAAAAGAGAAAAAGGCGAGCCCCGCAAAAAGTGGCGTGCAGCAAGAAAAACGCGGCAGCTGGTGCCCCCAGGTCGATGATTTCCCCGTGGAATGGCCACCTGGGCCCCGACCTGGAGGGACGCCGCCGCCACTGGGGGTGCCAATGCAGGTGCGTGTGTCCCAAACTTCTCGTTGCGCGACTGGCAACAAGGAGCAACGGAACATCCTACGGCTTAGGATGAGGGCTGCGCGGAGGAAAATCCTTGGGGAAAACGCGCAAAGCCAAGGACAGCTAAGCCCAAAGCCGAAAAAAAGAAACGCCGGAAGCAGGTCAGAAGAGCATCACGAACTCAAAATCAGAGCGGCAGCTGCTGCGGCAGCGGCACCAGAGCTGAGACGGCAGCTGCGTCAGCACGGCGATGCAAGGCAGCACGGCCGCGGTACCCTCTCACAAGCACAGAAGCTTCCTGGAGGAGCTCACCAAAGAGCGAACGCGTGTCCACTTGCTCACGGGCCGCAACGGCTCGGGCAATGTTCTTCAAGATTTTGGCCGCTGCAGGATCCCACGTGCCCGTGGTCTCTGCGACCAGCGGGTGAAGGTGATGCCCTGCTGCTGGCAAAGGCTTGCTGTATCCAAGTGGGCCATCTTAACTGCAGAGTAAGCCGTTGCTGCCGCAGCACCTTTGCGTCCTGCGTCAACAAGGGTAGCCTGCCGCTGAGGGCCAGCGATGGCCAAGTCAAATGCAGTAGGCTTGCCCTGAAAGGAAGGGACAAAGATGTCCGCTGGCCGCCGACGGTCCACTTCAGGCCTTTGTGGAAGAAGCAGGCCACAGCGCTCCTTTTCCGGCTGCAGACCAGCTCGGTCAGCCCAACGGCAAACGAGATCTCGGAGAGCATGATGCCGATGGTTTCTTTCGCCCCGAGCGATGCAGACTCCAGCATGCAAGGAAAACTTGTCAAGAACGCCATGAGAGCGTGGACACCACCCGTCATCGAGGGCTTCGGGTAGACCTATAGCCTGTGCCGCAACTCTGCGAGGATCACCGCAGGCTCCATGCGCTTAGGCCCAGCAGGTACAGCAGCAAGGAAGGTGCGTCCTCCGGGTTCTGCCTCTGAGAGCAGCACCGCTTTCCTAGTGAGAGAAGCAGCCTCCAGCTCTTGTTTCCATCCGCACAAGTCGACCTGAGCAGCCAAGGCACGTTGACTCTGCGTCAAGGCGCTATCCAAAGTGAAGGCTGTGGCCACGGAAGCCTTGTAGGCACCCAAGGCAGCAGTCGCAGTCGGCCATGTAGCTGGGGAAGTGTGAAAAGCCTCTGGTCGCTGGGCCCCATTGGACCTGCTCAAGGCGGAGCCCAATGAAGTTGCTGAAGAGCAGCCGCGTACCATGGAGTCAAAGTGCGGAAGGGCTTGTTGTTGAGGTAGCGTCGGGTTGCACCGCATGCTGTAAGTAAGGCGACTGTGCCCAGGCACGGAGAAGCCGAAGGGCCACTTGCGGGTCGTCAAGTTCACCAAATTCAAAATATTTGGTCATTGTTCTGTCATGTTTTGTGATTTTTGTTGTCGTTTGGGTTTGTCAGTTGTCATTGTTTGGTCATTTCTTTGTGCAATGCTTCTGTCATGTTTTGTCATGTTTGCGTGCTGCAAATGCCGGGTTCCTAGGAACAGAAAAAATATAGAAAATATGAAAAAACTAAGAAGAGCACAAATTTAGACAGCTTCAGGCTGTGCCGGGTTCCTAGGAACAGAAATAACAAAAGAACTACAAAAATATGACAAAAAATGACAAACAAAAACTCCAGGTAAAACACGAATTTCGACATCTCCAGGGTCTGCTGCGAATGCCGGGTTTCAAAAGATTACGCCAGCATAGACCCCAGATAGCAAAAAATATTGTTTAGTGGCAACCAAGCGCTCGCCTTTTTTTGCTACGGCATAAACATAATCTCAATCAGGGCACTGCAATAGACATCTCGCACTCGCAGCCACCCCCTGCAGCGACACCAGCACCCAAGCTTCATAGCGCACACCGCACTCTGGCAGCAGCACCCTGTAGCAGCAACCAAACTCCTAAGATGCAGACAACCTTTTTTGCAACTGCTCCAAAGCGGCACCAACACGCCAGCTCCAAAGCGCACACACCACTCTAACAGAAGCACCCTGAAGCAACACCCTGCAGCGGCACCAACATGCCAGCTCCAGAGCGCACGCCCCCCTCTGACAGCACCCTAAAACAGCACCCTGCAGCAGCAGCTCCACTCTGACAGCAGCACCCTGAAGCGCACACACACCACTTTCACAGCAGCACCCTCAATCACCACCTTGCAGCGGCACCCTGCACACACACCACTCTGACACGCAGTGGCACCGCTGCAGGGTCTCTGCAAGGTGCGGTGCTGCTGTGAGAGTGGTTTGTGCGCTTTGGAGCGGGCATGCCGATGCCGCTGCAGGGTGCCGCTGCAGGCTGCCAAGAACATTGAGCTGGAGCCTCAATACCGATCACTCAAAGGCCGAGTCTGTCACAAAGGAGACGCAGCCAAAACAACGGCAAAATAGCTCTATATCAAACACTATCCGCATCTCCAGCTTCGATCGTGGGTGCCAATGCCATCATTGCGTATGGCATGATGAAGGGACACAGGATCTCCATTGCGGACGCAGTCAAAGTCTACCTGACAGCTTGGTGCCGCTGCAGGATCGGTTGGAGGGTGCTGCGTGAGCGCTGCTGTCAGCGCGCGCGCTTTGGAGCTGCTGTTGCCGCTGCAACATCCTGCTCTAGATTGCTGGTGCCAAAGTGGTGTGCGCGCTTTGGAGGGGGCATGCTAGTGCCGCTGCAGAGTGCTGCTGAAGGGTGCCGCTGCAGGGTGCTGCTATCGCTGCTATCAGAATGGTGTGGGCTTTTGGGCGGGCAGGTGCCGCGGTCACCCTGCAGCGTCACCAGCATGCCTGCTCCAAAGCGCACAACCCACTCTGACAGCACCCTACCAGCACCCTGAAGCAGCACCTGCAGCGTCACCAGCATGCCAGCTCCAAAGCACACACAACACTGTGACAGCAACATCCTCAATTCAGCACCCTGCAGCGCCACCCTGCAGCTCCGTCTATGCGTGAAGTAAGAACCCCAATAGCTTCGCTATCTGTGGAAAAATGTCAGGAAACACACAAAATTACGCCAGCATAGACCCCAGATAGCAAAAGATATTTTTGGGTGGCGACGAAGCGCTAGCCTTTCTACGGCATAAACGTAATTGCAGCGGCACCAGCATGCCCACTCGGAAGCGCACACACCACTCTGACAGCACCTTCAAGCATCACCTTGCACCAGCACCTTGCAGCTGCACCCTGCAGCAGCACCAGCATGCCCGCTCCAAAGCCTACATGCCACTTTGACGGCAGCACCCAAGCAACACCCTGAAGCAGCACCTTGCAGAGCGGCACTCTCCACCACCGTGCAGCAGCACCACATGCCAGCGCACACACCACTGTGACAGCACCACCCTCAACCGGCACCCTGTGACAGGCAGCACCCTGCAGCGGCACCCTGCACCGCCACCAACATGGCTGCTCCAAGCCACTGACAGCCGAACCTTCCAGCAGCACCCTGCAGTGGCACCAGCATGCCCTCTCCAAAGCCCACACACCATTCTGCCAAGCAGCCTGTAGCGGCATCGGCACCAGCATGCCCGCTCCCAGCATGCAACTCCAAAGCGCACACACCTCTCTGACAGCCGCTGCATGGCGCCGCGGCCGGCATGAGCATGCCCGCTCCAAAGCGCACACACCGTTCACTTTCAAGCAGCACCTTGCAGCGACACCCTGCAGTGGCACCCTGCACCAGCATGCCCACCCCAAAACGCACACACCTCTGACAGCAGCGCACCAAAGAGCACACCACTCTGACAGCAGCACCCCGCAGCGGCACCAACTGTGACAGCAGCACCTTGAACAAGCGGGACCACCATGCCCGCTTCAAAGCGCACACACCACCCTGACAGCCGCAGCACCTTGCAGCGGCACCAGCATGCCCGCTCCAAAGCGCAGACACCACTCTGGCAGCAGCGGCACCCTGCAGCGGTACCAACATGCCCGCTCCATAACGCAGACATGCAACTCCTCGTATACTTGAAATAAGAACCCGAATAGCTTCGCTATCTGGGGAAAAACAACAACCCCAAATAAAAAGAAAGACACATGACGAAAAACAGTTTTAAAAAATGACACCAGCATAGACCCCAAATAGAATAGGTCTCAAAAACGTTCTTAATGTGCGAATTGGTATCGGCAATAGTGGAACTGCTGGTTCCCAAACCTTAGAACCAATGCTTCTCAATCTTGGAACCTCGGGTCCCCAGTTTGAAGAACTGCTGGTTCCCGAACCTTCGAACCAATGCTTCTCAATCTTGGAACCTCGGGTTCCCAGTTTGAGGAACTGCTGGTTCCCAAACCTTCGAACCAATGCTTCCCAATCTTGGAACCACGGGTTCCCAGTTTGAAGAACTGTTGGTTCCAAACCCTGGAACCAATATTTTCCAATCTTGGAACCTCGGGTTCCTAGTTCTAGGAACTAGCGATTCCCAAACCTTGGAAACCATTTTTTTTTATTTTGAGGAACTGCTGGTTCCCACACCTTGGAACCAATGCTTCCCAATCTTGGAACCACGGGGTGAGGAACCGATGGTTCCAAAGCCTTGGAACCAACCTCGGGTTCCTAGTTCCAGGAACTAGCGGTGCCCAAACCTTGGAATCAGTGTTTTCGAAGCGTGGGACTATGGGTTCCCAGCTCCACCAAGTGCCATTCGTTCTAAGCTTGCAACGAAAGGTTCCGAGTCAGGAGCTAACGTTGGCTTGAAAGAATTACAGATTTTCAAGGGGTCGACGATTTGATTCGAACCCAAATTTTGTTCAAGAACTACGTTTTTTTTGAAAAAGTTGTAACATAGACATCCGATTCAACATACATTGTTGGAATGCGTTTTTGTTGTTTTGCTTAATGGTCCGCCAAAACCCATGTTTCCATGGCATTTTGCTTTTGATCAAACATTCGCATCAGTGCCTGCCAATCTTGCAACCACGAGCTTCGTATTTTTAATTTCAACAACTACGTGTGACATTTGGGTTCTAACAGAGGCATCGGATTCAACATACATTGTTCGAATCCTTTTTTTGTTGTTTTGCTTAATGGTCCGCAAAATACGATTTGAAAAAGGTTGTAACATAATAGGCATCCGATTCAACAAACATTTTCGGAATATGTTTTTGTTGTGTTGCTTAGTGGTCCGCCAAAAACCCGTTTCCATAGCATTTTGCTTTTGATCAAACATTCGCATCAATGCCAGCCAATCTTGAAACCACGGGTTTCGCATTTTTAATTTCAAAAATTACGTTTGAAAAGGTTCAAACATAGGCATCGGATTCAACAAACATTTTTTGAGTCCTTTTTTGTTGTTTTGCTTGATGGTCCGCAAAACAAACGAATTTAAATAGTTTTTGTTTTTGATCGGAAGTTTGCAGGAATGTTACCCAACCTTGAAACCACGGCTTCCCAAACGTTGGCAGCAATTCTTTCCAATCTTGGGCTCATGGATTCTTAGTTCCAGGAACAAGCGCTTCCCAGATGTGCCATCAATGATTCCGAATTTTTGGAACCACGGGTTCCCACTTTGAACAACTGCTGGTTCCCAAACCTTGGAACCAATGCTTGCAAATCTTGGAACCACGGTTGCCTGTTTGAGGAACTGCTGGTTCCCAAACCTTGGAACCAATGCCTCCCAATCTTGAAACCACGGGGTCCCAGTTTGAGGAACGGATAGTTCCCAAACCTTCGAAACAATATTTCCCAATCTTGGAACCTCGGGTTCCCAGTTTTAGGACTGCTGGTTCCGAAACCTTGGACCCAATACTCTGAGGAACTGCTGGTTCCCAAACCTTGGAACCAATGCTTCCCAATCTTGGAACACGGGGTCCCAGTTTGAGTTTGAGAACTGCTGGTTCCCAAACCTTTGAACCAATGCCTGCCAATCTTGGAACCCCGGGGTGAGGAACCGATGGTTCCCAAACCTTGGAACCGACCATGGGGTTCCTAGTTCCAGGAGGTAGCGGTGCCCAAACCTTGGAATCAGTGTTTTCGAAGCTTGGGACGATGGGTTTCCAGTTCCACCAAAGTGCCATTTGTTCTAAGCTTGCAACGATAGGTTCCGAGTTAGGAGCTGATGTTGACTTGCAAGAATTACAGATTTTCAAGGGGTCGACGATAAGTATCGAACTTTGACACAAATTTTGTTCAAGAACTACGGTTTAAAAGGTTGTAACATAGACATCCGATTCAACAGACATTGTTGGAATGCCTTTTTGTTGTTTTGCTTAATCGTCCGCAAAACAAACGAATTTAAATAGTTTTTTTGTGTTTGATCGAAAGTTTGCAGGAATGTTACCCAACCTTGAAACCACGGCTTCCCAAACGTTGGCAGCAATTCTTTCCAATCTTGGGCTCACGGATTCTTAGTTCCAGGAACAAGCGCTTCCCAGATGTGCCATCAATGATTCCGAATTTTTGGAACCACGGGTTCCCACTTTGAACAACTGCTGGTTCCCAAACCTTGGAACCACGGGTTCCCACTTTGAATAACTGCTGGCTCCCAAAACTTGGAACCAATGCCTCCCAATCTTGGAACCACGGGTTCCCAGTTGAGGAACCGATAGTTCCCAAATTTTGAAACCAATGCTTCTCAATCTTGGAACCGCGGGTTCCTAGTTCCAGGAACTAGCGGTGCCCAAACCTTGGAATCAGTGTTTTCGAAGCTTGGGACATTATGGGTTTCCAGTTCCACCACTTGCCATTCGTCCTAAGCTTGGTTCCGACTTAGGAGCCACTGTTGGCTTGCAAGAATTACAGATTTTCAAGGGGTCGACGATAAGTATCGAATTTTGGCACAAATTTTGTTCAAGCGACTCAACATACATTGTTGGAATACGTTTTTGTTGTTTTGCTTAATGGTCCGCCAAAACTCCGTTTCCATAGCATGTTGTTTTTGATCAAACGTTCGCATCAATGCCAGCCAATCTACAATGGATTTTTTTCAACAACAATTACCTGCTGGTAGGGAACTCACATTGCTACTATTTACTTCCTTTACTGAATCATCACCCTCGCCGCCACCACCACCACCGGCACCACCATCACCACCACCACCACCATCAGCAGCATCATCATCATCATCATCATCACCATCATCACCATCACCATCACCATCATGATCATGATCATGATCATCATCACCATCGTCGTCATCATCATCATCATCATCCCCGGAAGCCGGTGGTCATCGCAAATGTATGCAAATGCTAGCTTGGGATGCTCCAAGTGAACTACGGTAACATGGTTCACAAGCCCAAAAACATCCCAATGAAGCGCACCTGTAAAAACTGCCCCATGCAGCTTGCAACCTTGGTGATATCCCAACGATACTTCGGCACCAGTCGGCTCACCTCAGCTCACTGTTTGCAACGGGATAGAGAGGTACTCAGATCGTCAGACTTCATAAAGCTGATAAGAAACACTTTCCGAACAGCTCGCATTGAGATGCCAAGGGGCTCCGTAATTGAGCGCAAACCAGGCAATGCCCAACGGAAAGAACAATGCACTCGCTGAGTAACGAAGGCTCGTATCGCTTCCTGCTAGGCAGGCAAAGCCGAAGTTGTCGAGATCCAGCATTAGGATGGAGAACCACCCGAAAAAGGAGTCGATATCAACTGGAAAGTTCACCGTCATGGTGCCGATAATACCAATGCTCTGCAGCAAAGAAATGAGCATCCCAAAGGCACATGTGGTGGTGAAGAGCACAGAGGCCTTTGCCGTCACCTTTGAAGTCATCAAGTAGTAAGCAGCCGTCAGGAAGAGGAAAACACACATGACACCAAGTGCCCAAAGCACCACCAAGGAATCCTCGCACTCCTCGCATTTCCCTTCGCTAAGGTTGTAGCCTGCACAAGTAACGATGTGCGCAAACAACTCCAAATTTCTAGATGAATCTGTGAAAAAATGGTTTGCAATCAAGAGCCCGGCACTAGGTATCAAATCAACACTCAACTCAGGAAAAAAAATTGGACAAGTGTGGCTCAAAGCTTCAAATCCAGCCGACCCAGAGGGCTGAAGAGTCATGGGAATCACAGGTTACAGTCAGGTTACAACCCCTCAAACCCAATGCATACTGTAGTCATCCAACCAATTATCAATTTTGCACAATTCCACATACTGATCACAAGCAAAACACGTCCAAGTGGTCAATGACCTACATGTGTATATATATATATGTATTTCTTGATTTATTTATCTATTTATTTACTTAATTTATTTATTTATCTATTTTTTACGGCTGTAAATACAACATGTAATATATATATATACTTACACATATACAAATATATGTTTATAATTTACATATACATATATATATAATATAAACATAAATGTATTGTATAAAACAATATTTGTTTAAAAATATTTTCTTTGTGAAAAAATACGTTACACATTATTCTTATTATATAATATTATGAATTACTTCTGAGGTATTATGTATTTTTTACATTAAATAAGAAATGTTATGTATTTTATGATAAATTTAACACATGATATATGATATATCAAATAATAAAATCAAATATTTTATATAAGATTGTATATTACATTATATATAATTGGATTAAACCCTGCATACAGCATTTATTTAGCCACTTCCTAAAGTAACCGGGTCCCGCCCACCTGGTGCGCACTCGCCGCAGGGCACACCGACCAAGCCACCGTTGCACTGCGCTGGCAATCCACCAGGGCAAGACTGGACGCTTCCGCAGCGGTAGACCTAGTGGCGCCGAACGTCCCCATTAGTAAGAACCATATGGTGGTTTAATGGGTATCTATAATGGGTATCTGGTAGTGATGGATATATTTATTGTATCTTTTAATGGGTATCTATCTATCTTTATATACATATATACATATGGAGATGTTCTAAAATGGGAGTTACCCACAGTCATCATCCAAGTCATGAATGACCATGACTTCGCCTTGAACCTATTTTGACGACTGGGGATCCCATCCCCCATGACTTGAGAAACCTCCATATTGTTCCCTAGTGGTGTAAGGGCTATATATTTATCGGCAACCACTTACGTAGCCGGGGATGCACATCCAGGCACTTCTCAAAATGAGATGCCTGAAGCCTAAAGTTCGCTGTCAACACCAAAAACCTGGACATGTTCACTGCACCACAAAACTTGGACTGTTGATTTGGAGGGGGAAACCAACGAGACTTTGAACAAATCATTAGCAGATATACTGTACCCCTAACTCCATTGGTCAATAACCATTTTCCGTTGTCAGATTGCCATTTTTTGGATATACCATGCCCTTCCACATGTTCAAACACATCCATACAGCCAGTTTTTTAATGATATATGTCTTTCAATTATGTTTTGAACATATATATATATATACATATTAATTGATTAATTAATTAATTAACTAATTGATTAATTGATTAATATTAATATTAATTCTCTCTTTGCAGTGCTGACTGTTCAGACGCCTATGAAAGCAGGCTTTTTCCATCACCCATGAGGCTCGCGCAGCGTCTGCTGCAGCACAAGGTGAGTTTTGCACGGCCAGGAAGTCCAAGGCAAACAGGAGGCCGAAGTCAAAGGCCATGAAGATGACCCCACCAGCAGCAAAGCCATAGCCACATCTAGCAGGGACGGTCAAGCAGGTGCGCAAGACGTGTGTCACAAAGATTTAAAGAACGTTTGTCATGCACCCTGCGAAGCTGCTGTCACCGTGCAACAAAAAGGCAAAAGCGTCAGCCCCATTTTTGATGCAAGCCCGAGCATCAGGAGGAAGGCGCGCAAACAAGTACAATGCCGCAACCTCCTGCAAGTAAGTCTCCAGCGTGGTCTGACTCCGAAGGCGGAGCAACCACAAAAGGTCTTGTATTTGCCTTTCATTTTTGTAATGGTACACTGCTGCACCACCACGCAGTCCTCCAGGCGTCAACTGAAAAGACGTAGGGATGCATAGCAACCTCACTAGCTGGTCCCATCTTTTTCGGTACTGGCACGCGCTCACTCGAAAAAGCGGAGCATCAAGACGCAAGGCTTTGAAGATCTTTGTAAGCAACTTCGACGCCAGCGGGTCCACGACTTTCATGTGTTGCACCTTTGCTGGTTGTCGCAACCGCGACTTGAAGCTGCGCAGTCGCAGAAACACCAGGGCTCCAAAATCTTCAAAGACGTCTCCAAACACCGGGGCTCTTCTCAAGTCTTCACGCAAGCATTTAAATACTTCGCCCAAGCGCCCAGCACGGTAGAAAGCAAGAAGGGTAGCACCAACCCACGAATACCATCTCAAATGCCAGGCGTAGACACACGTGGCGTTGACGACATTCCGAGAGATGGGCGTGCGGTGATTCACTGGAACCATAAGCTTCCATCTCTCCACCATATCCCATGAAGCGCTCATAAAAGGTCGGGCAGCAGGGATCCAGCGTTGGCAAGCCAGGATCAAATGCCGCAGGTTGCTAAGAGCGCCACCATGGGAGTACAGCCAGCCGGCATAAAGAGCATCTGCTAAAAACTTCGGAGCACATCTGAAGAAAACTTCAAGGTCTGCAGCGCCAAACCACGTAGAGCACCACGAACAAAAGCTCCGGAGCACTTTGAATTCAAGTGCAAGAGTTTGTGCTGACAAGAGCTGAACTTGGTGAAGAGGGAGGTCATTTCTTACGGCGGTTCTCTTTCGAGGGCCAGGGTTTGAGGCTTCGCCAGCCCGCAACGAGCCAGTCTTTGAACATACAGATTCAGCCACGTTATAAACGACACCAGCCAGCTGACTGACACAAGGCTATTGCTAACAGCCTGCAAAGTCCACGTGGGCACCAACGTCCAGGGAATTCGTTTGGTTGGGTGTCCACCGCCAGCCAAACGAGAGTTCGTGGCGAAGCGAGTGGCTTTGCGCCATACCGTGCCAAACCTGCAAAAGCAGCGTCTAAAGCAAGCATCAGAGCGACTTGACCTCCATCGCTTCCACTTTCGTTGCCGCCACCACCATGAAGTGTCGGGGTTCTCGACGAAGTAGACAAGGTCGTACTCCTCATAAGGTCACTGTGACTGTTGCCGTCACGAACCTTCTGTTGCATGCTGCGTCGCAAGTCAGGTAACCCACGGGGATACTTGGAGCTGCGGACTGGAGGAGTGACTGCAACACAGAAACTTGAACATACAGGGGCAGCGCCCATGGCTTTGAAGCATCCCAAGGCGATCATACGCCTAATCTTCATCCGTAGTTCGGGCTTCAGCAGGTCCTCAGACGCACTCCTCTGCCACTCAAAAGTAAGAACCCATGGGCCATGGGGCTAAAAACTGAACTGTTTGTCTAGCCTGCTCCCTTGTCCAAGAGGCCCCGCAGAGCCCCCAAGCTGGAGTGAGGAATGCCAGCTTGTAGGGCAGCCGACGCCACTCCAGGGCCCAGCAAAGGATACATCGCCTTCAAGTCCAGCGGGCGCCCCCAGCACCAGGCGTAGGCCTTCGGGCGGCAGGCTTTGGCCTGCCCGGCAAGAGAGGAACAGCAGGTCGCTGAGGCGCAGTTGCCCTTGAGGACACCAGCCGCTTCACCTCTCCGGTCAATTGCAGGCGAGCAGCTTCCAATCTTCTGAGCGTGATCTCGGATTCCGTCGAAGGCAGACCGTCCAAACCAACATCGGGCTCGCGTATAGGTCGCCCGCATCTGATGTCGCCTCGGCCCCATCCGTGGTCAACTGACCATCGGCCGAAAAGAAAGCAAAATGCTCCTGTGCAACGTCCACCAAGGCCTGGGCAAGTGGAAGAGCACAACGGTCTTGGTCGCTGTCGAAGAAGTGCTCGGCATTGAACTCCTCCAAAATCTCAGCACATCTCGCAGCTAACCCACCCATACTTTCAAGGTTACCCCTTCAATTGGGACGTCAAGCTGGTCAGGGTGAGCGGCTTGAACTTCAACAAGTGGCACCCTTGACAAAGCTGTTCTCGCCAAAACTCGCCGCGCAATGGTGCGGTGCCAAACACTCAAAGGGACGGCCACAAGAAGATGGCCCTCAAACTCTGCTATCTGAATTGCTTGCACTGAAGGTGCAAAGGTATCCACGTTGGCAGGCAAATGGCCAGCAGGGTATAGATGGCGTGCAAAATCCCGTCGGTGTAGACCAGTGGGGGAACTTCGTCAGGCCAAGGCGCCTGACGAAAGGTGGTCATTGTTTGATGGCCTGAGGCCACTTCAGGTCGACTGCTTGCAAAAACCGGCGCGCTTCACGTTCAGATGGTCCTCCAACAAAGACTAAGTCACCACACTCAGTGTTGCTGGGCTTGCACAACAGTCGGCAGCTTGCCCAAGTCTTCACCACCTTGACTAGAGTGTGGATCAACCCGTTGTAGTCACACACAATGATCCCATAGGCGGCTCGCCAAATTAATCTTTGCCCTGCCGCTGGTTCCACGATGATTCCCAGAAATGGAGTGGGCCAAAAACTGACCGATCTGGTCACAGATTGCTTCCCGCTGCAGCCAAGTGAGGCTGGTGTGAGCGGAAGGCCCATTCTGCCAGACCCACAGGCGCTGATTGCCGTGCTGATTGCGGATCCACGGGCACTGATTGCGATGCAGCAGCCACAGGTTGTCAAGGACGCACTCAGGGGATGTTGAGTATCCACCAGAAGTAGGGCCCACACGGCGCCAGCTCTGGTCACCACTCTCTCTCTCTCTCGAGACACTGCCTGAGCCGTTGGACTGGCCTTCAACCAACCTCTTGAGCTCCCCAACCATTCGGCGCAACCGCAGGACCTCAGACTTTAGGTCCTCAACCTCGTCACGCAGATCTTGAACGTCAGCTTCAAGACCAGGTGCCGAGGGCATCAACAGAGCTTGTAGAGCGGCTTGGTGTAGCGAGGAGCCACAATTTTTGCGCCACCGACGCTCAGTCCAGGCCAAGCCCACTTCGGAGTGAACCAAACCTCAATCAGCACCACCAGGACGCCAGTGCCCAAACCAAGCAGAAAGCTCAGTGAATCATGGCAATGGCTTGAGAGGAACGGAATTTACACCTGGTCAGCTTTGTCAGCCCAGTGCTGAAATCGCGAGGCTAGGGCAAGATTTCCTAAGGTCGCTGCCCCACTGGTGAAAGCAAGCATGAGGCAGATTTTCTCCAGCAACAAAGTTTCATGAACATCCAAGGCACATATATATATATGTATATATGTATATGTATATGTATATGTTTGTGTAAATGTATGCGTATATGTGTATGTATATGTATATGTGTATGCATATGTATTTGTGCTTGTATATGTATATGCACATGTATATGTATATGTGTATGTTTATGTATATGTGTATGTGTATGTATATGTATATGTAAATGTATATGTATATGTGTATGTATATGTATATGTAAATGTATATGTATATGTGTATAAATATATATATATATTCATTTACTTACTTATTTATATTTATTTATAGTTATTTATTTATACACATAGATTTACATACATACACCTGCACATGCACATACATCCACCCTACACGTACACGTACACGTACACATACACATATACATAGACATATATACACATACATATAATACACACATGCATATGCACATACATATACAATGTGTTAAGAGATGAAGTGCCAGAACCTACTTACCAGTATGAACGTATATAACCTGAAAATGGGTTCATGGACATGAGCAGTCTGAATCTGCCATCTGGTCCAAGTACCACAACAAAGAAGACCTGACATAATGTGACTATACAAAACGTGACCATGTTCTATCTCCACACCTACTACTTCCCTCCCGACATGATCAGTGCATATATGTCACCTCCAAAGGTGCATCCGCCGTAACATAGTAATCCTCGGCCACCTTGGCCAAATAGTCTTTGCCCAGGGGATGACTTCCGTCAACCAAGCCTTGGCAGCAAGGCGCTGGCAAGTGGGATGCACGCCAAGTGGTCGAGAGGTTTAAGCATGCGAGCTGTGGGCATCACCATCCATGCAAGCTGAGATGGGTCCAGGTGACAAGCCCCTGATCCTGATCCCGATGATGATGACGATGATGATGATGGTGATGATGATGATGATGATGATGATACCGATCACCCTGATCATCCTTATCATCCTGTTGATCGTGGTGAACGCGGTGAAAATGTTGATTATGATCACTATGATGATCATGGCGATTATGGCGTTCATGGTGATCATGGTGATCATGGTGATCATGGCGATCACTGTGATCATGGTGATGGTGGCACTTCTTCAGGTGAAAGGAATGTTGAACCCAAAACGTTTCCAGTAATCACCAGAATGACATCAGTGCCTCCTAACAAGATGTTGTTTCAACAATTTTTTTGGCGCTACAACGTGTATATAAGGGAATTGATAGTCAGAAGTGGCGAAACAAGGGTTTACAGCAACCCCCAAAACGGTGGAAAAGTAGAATCCTAATTACCCAAAAGTGTGGTAAATGACTTTTTTGATCTATTCGGGATTTGGGGTTTCCTGCCATCATACAATTTATCCCTGGCTCTGTGGTTCGGCTTGGTGTTTTGAAATCACATGAGCCCGGCCACTGTAAAAAGACATCATTTCGATAAATTGAGAAGCGTGGTGAAGTTGCCAGTGGCTGATTCATCAGATTGTGAAACATACTTGTACTATGTCAACATATAAGCCACCCTCACACAGTGGGTCTGGTTCAAAATTAATGTACCAAAGCCCCAAAATCGCCGGAACCGTGATTATCCTGACCATGAACAATCTCTCCATCGGCACAAACAAATGTTTACAGGTGTTTGCTGCACATCAACTCTTTCAATGCAGAAGCAAGCAGGCTGCGAACACATTTTCACTTGGGGAATTCATGATGCCTTGCCCGTGGCTGGGCTAAGCAGTCATACATGAAAGATGGAAAAATATTGGCACACGCACCGAAGTCGGATATCGACGGAATTGTGTGCGAAACTGGTGCAGGACCCTGATGAAGGCGACTAAGAATTGAAGTTTGGCAAGCTTGAGGAGCCAAAGCAAATGGTTCAGAATCAGTTGCAAGGGGCCCTGCAGATCGCAAGTCTTACCAAATATCATCCACTTCTGTCAATTGTTCAGTGACCATGCGAACAACTTCAATCTGGCGGTCAAAAGCGACACACTGAAACGCAGAATGCTGACCAGTTTTCCAAAAATTTGATTTTTGAATTTAGAGGGAATATTCTAAGTTTCAGTGTGCCGATACCCAAACCACAGTATTGCCATACAAAATGCATATTTTAGGTATAAAATGGCATGCTAAGTTCTCTCCGTGCAGTGTGTTTTCCTCCATAAGGGCACCCCAAAAACAGCAAAGAGAAAAATAACCCTGTTTGAAGCACATATGCAACGAAAATTGCAATGCACTGCATATTTGCAGGGTTTTATGAACACTCAGCCTCCAAGACGCCTCAAGACACGTTTCCTTTTTCTTTCAAATTTGTCTCTTATTTCTTTCCCCATTGAAGATGGAAAACTCGAAAAAAACAGGGGCCAAAAGTCCCTTCTAAAAAATAACTTAGAATGCTGGCAAAATTGTCTTTTGTTTTCCATTGTTTTTCATTGTTCCTTCTTTGGTTTTTCATTGGTTTTTCTGTGGTTCTCATTGGTTTTTCCTTGGTTTGTTCATAATGTTTTCTTTGGTTCTCAATAATTCTCATGTGTTGTTCTGTGCTTATCATTGTTTTTTTCATTGTTTTTTCATGGGTTTTCTTTGGTTTTTCTGTGGTTTTCATTTTTTTCGTTGGTTTTCATTTGTTTTTCAACCATTCCTTTGGTTTTCCGTTGATTTTCTTTATCGTTCACTCATGTTTCTTTAGTTTTTTTGGTTTTCACTGTGTTTTCATTATTTTTCCTGGGTTTTCACTGGTTTTCATTCGTTTTTCTTTGATGTTCATGTGTTTCTCCTTGCTTTTCATTTGTCTTTGAGTCAGTTTCTTATGTTTCTTTGGTTGTCATCAATTTTGTCTTTTGCTTTTCATTGGTTTTCATTGCGTTTTTGTTGGTCCTTCTTTGGTTGTTCATTTGTTTTTTGTGGTTTTCAATGTTTTTTCTTCGTTTTTCCTTTTTATTGTTTAATTCTAATAGTTGTTCATTTGTTGTGTGTTGGTTATCATTGTTTTTGTTCATTGGTGTTCTTTGGTTTTTCTGTTGTTGTTCTTTGGTTTTCATGTTTTTCATTGGTTTTCAGTGGTTTTTGGCGGCATTCTAAATTCAAGAATCAAAATTTTAGAAAACTGGTCAATTATAAGTGTCAGTGTGTCGATGCATCATACCACAGTATTACCATACAAAATGCATATTTTAGGTTTAAAAAACGGCATGCTAAGTTCTCTCCGTGCAGCATGTTTTCCTCCATAAGGGTACACAAAAAACAGCAAAGAGAAAAATAACCCTGTTTGAAGCACATATGCAACGAAAATTGCAATGCACTGCATATTTGCAGGGTTTTATGAACACTCAGTCTCCAAGACGCCTCAAGACACGTTTCCTTTTTCTTTCAAATTTGTCTCTTATTTTTTTCCCCATTGAAGATGGAAAACTCGAAAAAAACAGGGGCCAAAAGTCCCTTCTAAAAAATAACTTAGAATGCTGGCAAAATTGTCTTTTGTTTTCCATTGTTTTTCATTGTTCCTTCTTTGGTTTTTCAT